AACGATTTTGAGCCATGTCATTCAAGGTCTCTAGCCATCGATTATTATCATCTCGCGGACCCCAACCAGGTAGTCGACAAATTACCGACATGGCTAAGTCCACTAGTCAATGACTTCATGGATTTCTGCCATGTTTTGGTTTGGCCGCCCCTAGCTTTCTTCCAACCTATTCCTACACTACAAAACAAAGCTCGACGAGGCAGTCGGTGATTAGGCATACGCAACACGTGTCCCAACCACCTCAACTGATGAAGTTTCACCACTTCATCGATTGATCTGCCATTCTTACCTAGCACCCGATTCCTAATAACAGCGTTGCTCACTCGGTTGTCCCACGATATACGAGCAATTCTTCGAAGACACCTATGATCGAAAACCAATAACCGACGAGTATCTTCTACTCTCATTGGCCATGTTTCACAGCCATATAGGAGAACGGAGCGAACCACTGCGCAGTACACTCGTCCTTTAGTCAGCAAACGGATATCTCGCCTACGCCATAAGTGACGCAGGTTGGCAAAAGCCAATCGAGCCTTCAGTATCCGTGCCGAGATTTCGTCAGTCATCAGGCCATCAGCACTGATGAGACTCCCAAGATAAGTGAAGCGGTCTACACGTTCGACCACTTCACTCCCTATCACTAGTTCAGGTGCCGATGCAACCCAATCTTGAAGCAACATTTTGCATTTCTACGGGGAAAACCGCATCCCGAACATGCTCGCATTGTTGTTTAGGGTAGTCAGAAGACTCTGCATTTTGTCAGCGTCTTCACCAAGTAGGACTATGTCATCGGCATATTCTAAGTCAATAAGCGAGCCACCTGGTAAAAGGTCTACTCCAGAAAATTCAGACGAGGATAAGGTTATTTCTAGGAGCATGTCTATGATAAAATTAAACAAGAATGGAGAGAGTGGACATCCCTGACGGACACCACTTGATGTAGAGAATTCCGGTGACACTCGACCAGTGGTGTTTGAGTAGAGAGCTTGTATGAGGTTAATGTACTTCTCTGGTACACCTTTCAATGACAGACACTGCCACAGAACCTCACGATCCACTGAGTCAAATGCCGCCTTAAGGTCCAGGAAAACAACTATTGTAGGACGCCTAAATGTGTGTCTGTGTTCCAGGACCTGTCGTAGTGTGAAGACGTGGTCTATACAGCCACGTCCAGGTCTAAAACCAGCCTGGTTTTCTCGAGTCTGCTCTTCACGAGCTTTCGTTAAGCGTCGAAGTATTACTGAGGCCAATATTTTAGATACTATATTAGACTTATTCCCCTGTGATTGTCACAAGAAGACTTGTGTCCTTTCTTATAGATTGGGACAATCAGTGATTGAGACCAGTCGGATGGGATTGCGGCCGGTTCCCAGATCCTACCTAAGATTTCAGTCAATCTAGCTGCTAAAACTGGACCACCATCCTTAAATATCTCAGGGGTCAATCTATCAGGACCTGCAGCTCGTCCTCGCTTCAGATTTCCTAAAGCTTTTTCAACTTCATTAAGACTAGGGGGACTTAGGTCGATCTGCCATTCAGGATGACTGGAGATCGTGGGTAACCGAAGAGTGGCTCGAGGCCAGTTGAACTGATCCCTAAAGTGTTCTGCCCATCGATCCAGTCTCCTGGATTGAGAATGAATAATAGTCCCGTCATATTCTGAGATAGTCTCGCTTACACTAGGATTCCTAATACCAGTTTCCTTGATAAGTCGGAAAAGTTGTCTACTGTTGCCTATCGCCGCTGCCTTTTCCATCGCTTTTGCTTTCGCCACCCACCACTGTTCGCGATCGTTACGTAGGCTTTTTATAAGTCTGCGCCTAAGTTGACTTCGTTCTTCATCATGTTCAGAGCCAGGTGGGATGAGTTTTCGGGCATCCATCAGATCGGTGGATGCTACTGAGATCCACGGTTTCATTCTAGCCTTATGGTCAACCTTACTAGCAGATATGTGTAGGTGTAGGAAGGATTTGATTTTCACCAATTTGGTCTCGTGTGCTGTTACGGGTATGAGGGCGGTTGTCACTTCCCGGCTGCCCACACCGTGGAAGGTTGTTTCTTGAGGAACCTGGAAAGGAAGATAGATTAATGTTGGTGCGTGACCGCAGAGCCCAAGGGACTACTGCTTGAGGCCGGTCACGCACGGCCTTTTTGTAAAAGGTTTTTTGAGGATTAGCTCCGTTCTTAAAGGCCCTTAGTGGGCACCCTTACCCAAGGAGACGGAAATCCGTGAGGTATGGGAGGTATGACATTTTTAGGGCCGACCTTTTCTAACCCTTCCTTCCTTGTGAGAAGGCAGCATCGCTGCAGATGCTGGTTGTCCGAGGGAAACACCTTACTGCTGTCACACCCCGCTGCAGTCAGCAGTACGACTTCGCCCTCAGACTTTGGGTAGCTGCTTTTAGTCTCATCGTTCTCCAATCGACCTGTCTGGCATGGTAGAACCTTGAGGAACATATGTTCCAGCCAATATACCTCGGTTGGGTCATCACGATAGGCAAGCCCGACCACCACGTCAAGGTAGCAGCTACGGTCGGGTTCGTATTTATGAATACAATTTAAAGTTGTAAAATCAGACATTTAATTCTCATGATCGAAATATAAGGATCTAAAGGAAGACAATGTTGTCTTATTGATGAGATTCTCTCCGATGCTTTGTCTTCTAATCACTAATGTTCAGAACATTAAACGACTAGGAATACAGAACCGCTTCAGTTAAATGGCTGCGTAAATAAAGGAGGAATTTCAACTTCTCCTTGTTACATCGACAATTCTTCGTGACATTAGTGCAAAATACTCAGCCGTCATCATCAACAGCAACATGGAACTTCGTGATTAAACTTTGTGATGGAAACAATTCCTAGTCACTGTTATAAAGACATTTCTTATTCCATCAACATTTATTTCAGTATCATATAGTATTGATAATTGTGATGTGTCAAACTTTGGAGTTTACAGTATGATAACGTCATATTTTCTTCGCCGAACGAAATGAAGGAAACTACTCTGTTTTGAAGCTGTCTGGAACAGTACATTTGTGCCATTTTCAGGATTGGTATTTTAGATGCAAAAATATGTGCTCAATAAAAAAACTGAATTCATTAAATCAAACAGATACAAAAGCTATCTGAACTACTGAAGGGACTAGTTTAAGTTTTGAACATACTAAATGTCATTCAATTAATCATAAGCAACGTAGAACATCGTACATCAGTTCAAGTTGCCATACCACACTAGTACAGAGATATAATTGTCAGTTCAAATCCCATAGAAGTAGAGGTAGTAAAAGTATTAGTAGTCAGAAATTATAGGGTTCGACGATATTATTCAGGATTTAGAATCTAGTGAAATAAACTTAGAAAGAAAATGATAAAGGCGATGAGGAATTCAGAAGTCAGAGACACAAATAATGGATGTTATAGTAAACGGTTTTGAGCCATGACATTCAGGTCGTTTACAATAATCTCGCGGGGTAGTCGACATCTACCAACATGACTCAGTCCACTTGTCAATGACTTCATCGATTTCTGCCCTGCTTTGGATGAGCCTAGATTTCGTCCAACCTATTTCAACTACGCAAAACAGCCCGACAAGGTAGTCGGTGGCTAGGAATACGTAACACATGTATTGACCTCATCAATAGTTTATCTATTGATATGATATCCTAACCTAGCACCAGTTTCCTAACATTATCGCTTACTCGGTTGGTCGACGGCTACGACTAGGAAGTAAGGAATGCCATAAACCCAAACTCGACCTGTACTGTTCGAGTACAAATGGATATCTTTGGTATACCTTTTAATGACAGGCGCTGTTACAGATCATCACGATCCATAATTACTGTCGGACGGCTAAATGTGTCTGCGTTCCAGAACTTGTTATAGTGTGAAAATATGGTTCATACAATCCACGATCAGGTGTGAAACCAGCCTGATTTTCTTCAATCTGGTTTTCACATGTCCAGTAACCATAAAAATATTTCGCAGTCGCATTAGAGCATGATTCCAACTAGATGCTCAAGAATAGATGGCAGTCATCACTAGCAGAGTCCATTGTTAGGTTAGCTTTGGGAGTCACCAGGTCGAAAGATGTTTTCTTTCTAAAGCCAGTGTCGCCTAAACCGCAGTCAGTGGGGGAGTAAGTGGATACAACGAAGAGGCAGCGGCGAGTGTGCCTGTCCATCCGAGTGCCCAACGTCCATATTGGTCGGACAGCGCATAAGCGAGTCCAAGAGAAGCGCGTTGCCCAGTTAGGTAGGTTTGATTGTCTCTCGAGGTGACGAAAGGTCACGTTAGTTGACGACTTCCCACCCCGTGAGGTCTGGATTGCCAGAAGCACGCGCCAACCCTGGCCAATACCCTACCTACTTTATCCGGGCTTGTGACTGGCAGACGGTGCCTAATTAATAACCTATGCTTCACTCACGACGTGGCAGTTCTACACTAATGACTAACACTTCCCGTCATTGAGTAAGGAATCGGTCACATGACGTTTATTGATCTGTAAGACCTAATTTCAATATTATATTATATTTTAACGCTTAATGTTCAGAAGCACCTCAATTTTCTAATCGTGGTACAAAATAGTTCTGCTAGCCCGCTACAACCTGGACTGACGCTGTATGCGAACTGTCCACAGAATATATCTTCAAAAATGCGTCAGCTAAGTTTACTAAAGATTTTCAAGCGTGGTAAGGCACTTCAAAAGTAAGTTGTAAGGAATTCTGGTGCGACTACTACCTGCTTGGGTTATATCGCGGACGTGTTCTCCACCTTAGCTTCTTACCATGCTTTGAATTGGAACTGCAAAACGACGACAAAAGTACCAACGATAAGGACATAGCCCAAGTCACAGTCAACACAATAGCCACTACGAAACATTAGCATTATCACTAGCATTATGGTAGTTAGAAAGATAAAATCACCTAGTGGTTGGCCCTAAAAAGGGCCGTTGTCACGTTCTCCGTAGTAGCAGCACCTAAACAGGCACCATCACACCACTTACTTCTTCTTCGGAGCTGCCTTCTTAACCACAGCCTTTGACTTCTTTGGAGAAGAAGGTTTCTTAGTCGATGGCTTTTTGGTAACAGCAGCCTTAGGCTTTTTGGGTGTCTTAACTTTTGGTTTAGCGACTTTCTTTTCTTTGGGTTTTTTCGGAGTTGATTTCGGTTTGCTGGTCGACGGTGATTTAGTTTTTGGCTTTGGTACCTTCGGCTTTGCCTCAGCAACTTTCTTCTCAGCGACTTTGAAGCTACCAGATGCACCCTTGCCTTTATTTCCAACTCGAACCAAAACACCTTTCTCTACGCCATGAACAATGCCACGACGAATGTGTGCTGCCTGCTTCTCGACATCAAACTTATAATTTGAAGCAATGTATTTTTTAATAGTCGCAAGCGAGCTACCCTTACGCTCCTTCGATGCCAATATCGCGGCTGAGATCATGTTGATCACTGGCGGGTGACTAGCTGGCAATTTCGGCTTTGGAGACTTGGATTTCTTCGAAGTAGAGGCTGCTGGGGCACTCATGACTACTGTTGCTGACAGACTTGCCACACGGAGACGAGAACGAAAATCACGGTTACTCTGTTAAGCCCTATAATAATAACCTGCCCACGAAACAACACAATTTAGTATCATCCAATTAGAAATCGGTGTTAACATTGTCCAATCAAAATTGAGTCTTTGCTTTCTAAGTTATTTTTTATGTTCGTACAAGGTCATCCTTCTGGAACAGTCGTTGCCTAATCTCTTATCATTTCCCGAACAGATAAGCCATTTTTCATGAAAGTAATAGCTCCGCTGATTGATGCCTTTTCCAAATATTCGTCAGCATCGAAAAACTGCGATGAATTTGGTTTCGTCGTTTGTTATTTGTGATTTCAATGTGAAGTGTCGTGGTTGTAAGTTGGTAACGTAGGCTAAAACATCAAGTTTAAATATTTATACGTTTTAGTTGCGAGCGTCAAAAATCATAAAATCATCACGACCTACTTCTCTCTTCAGTTTCCAACTTTCCTAGCCATGGTCGGGTTTTTATGTCGTGTTTTTTTCAATAATAAAAATTTTTAACGCAGTCTAGTTATAGTGATCTTGGCAGTTACCTATAAGCTCGAATTGACGTTACTGACCACCGGTTTGTCCGCTTAACCAGTGATAATGTCTGTGTTTCCATGTCCTGATGCTGCCGGCGAAGAGAAGGGCAGTTCATATATTGCGTACACAAATTGAGAAACAGCAGAGTGCGTATGATTTTATCTAATATAGGTTCCCATGTTGGTAAGGTCCTGTTTATCCATACCCATTCCCTCCCATTACTGAGAAACTCACTTATCCAGTTTTTAATTTCATAATGGAATCTAAAACATCCTACTCTTATTTAAAGTCTAGGTAAGAGGCTTTGCCTAAATATATGAAAATTACACCTACCGGGATGGTATCACCGGATTCTAAAATTCTTATGCACTGAGATTTGTCAAGCATGAAAATTATTCATTTAACCATGTTCCATTGCACATAGTTAAGAGTAGTTACCCGAACTACCTGGTTAGATTAAAAGGCCAATATTTACTAAGACTCTAGTGCCATCCTTATGATGGCATCTTTCCAGTCGTTCTGTAGTTAACACTTCTTTAGGGATAGTCCGTATTTCCGCAATCTGACAATTGCATCCTCGGGGCTTTTGTGATTCTGGACTGAAAATTGTCAGGACCACTTAACTTACCTGGGTTTGGATGCTGAAATAATCGCCAGACAACGTTTTGAATAACTCGAGAATCCGTCATTAAGCCACTGTTATAAATGGCTGGTTTCTCATTACTTCGGTAGAAAACACTTCACTAAATTACTTTAACAAACTTCAATTGATGCAACATTAATTTTTGCCGATAACAACGAGTTTTTCACGTACCACAAGTGACGGTATTCAGCCACCTCTCTGAGTCCGCCTGCGTATACGGGAGCAACCCTCTCAGACTATTTTTACGATCATCATCCAGTTATCTTTCATATGAGAGTATAGCTTTATCAAAATTCGAATTATACTTTTCAAAGCCTGTGAGGTTGCTCGACTGCTTTCATTAACCTCGGTTGGGAGTTATCAGGTATACATGTTACTAAGCACGGTATTAAAGCCAACGTGCATTTTTTAAATGTAGACCATACTGCAGTTGATAAGATAGTGTTTAATACCTTGTCGATTGTTACAGCACATTCCTGAATGCCCGATTTGTTTGTTCTCCACACACTTGGACGAGGCTGAATCTGATCACTTAATGTGATATTAGATTTGGTTTTTAATAAACAGTTTGTGTAGGAACGACGACACGAGGGAATACAAAGAACAGTTTTGTAGTTCACAAATAGCGATGTTTTACTCAAATCGTTCTTGTCCACTAAGTCGTCGATCCTCACTACTGATGCATTTGCAGCTTAGCAAGATGCGGTTTTATTGCAGAACGGGAAATCTTATGTTTATTTCTAGACGATTTAGCAAGGGTGAACGAGGATATCCTCAGACCCACCGGCTTTAGTTATGCGGAGAGACTGTGTAGGTACTTGTTATGTGTCGAACTCCATATCGTAACTAATCATCAGGTATTAAAGTTTACTCACCGCCCAATTCACTAACTTCATTTGTTTCAAATACAAGATGAAGTCATCGCTACACCAGATATTATTAGCTTTTTCGATGTTTCCGGGAGATTTCCTATTCTATTTAACATCATTTTAAGAAATAGCGGAGTTTCTACAGTGATGTGTTCTGTTAAAGAGACTTGATAAACGGGATTCTAAGAACATCCTTTCCCTTCGATCATACAACAAACCATGATGTAATAAATCGGACAGTGGGTGTTGTCAGCTGAATATTCGAAACAAATCTAAGTCGTGCTCGGTTACCACTTGTATATTACAAAAACTCACGAAATATTAGGATTATCTTGCTATATTCAAATTCTCCTGGAGTGAGCCATTATAGCTCTCTGAACAACGATCAAAGTGGCTGTTCTAAATTTCGACTCCGAAGCCATACCCAGTCTATACTTAACATGTATACCCCAAGCCTTCCAAATCAATACTTTATATTCCGGGAACCCATACCTCTATATAAACATCCTAATTCCAAAGAAGTCTAAGAATAGTTGGGCTCTGAGTGCATAGATGTCTTTATGGATGGATTCATATTTTTAAATATTTCTGCTACTGACAATGAATAGCTCTTAAATTTTATTTTGCAGTTTAGACCTAGCTGTTTCAAGAGACTCTATAATCAGACCACTGAACAAGGCGGGACTACTTAGTTCCACTACTCACTAATAATGATTAGTCACGCCAGTCCTGTCATATTTTAGTATTCCCCACCTTACTGTTCTATCTGCGGACTAAGATACAGCGTCGATCACTAAATCAGTGACTCTAAATATTCAACACCAGTTTGCTTGTAGGTACTCTAAATCTTCTTTGTGTTCACCCTGACACTAACGTTCTTGTGGTGTATTTATGATGGAATGAATCTTCTAAGAACTGCTAAGTATCCTTTTTATTTTGAGTTGCTCCGTATAGGGTTCGCTCTTTATTCCTTATTCTAGTAACCGAATTCTTACTCTATAGATCGCTTTCTAAATGCGTTTCAGACACCCGTACCAAACAGCTGGGTAATTTCGTTAATCCATTAAGTATGGAAGCCTTTACTGTCTCGCCTTAATTCGATGGATATAGTAAACGTTAATGCACGTATTTCAGATTTCAGTTAGGATCTGTATTTATCATAAGATAATGCATATATTCACTACAATATTCTGGTATTTTTCCAATTAACATGCTGAAATTATCTTCATTGTACGAATATAATACCTAATAATTGCGAAAAGCAGAGTAATAGCAAATGGTCTACACAAGTACAGTAAGGACTAAATCTTGGAAACCTATCATGGCATATTTCGGTGAAAGCTGATATCGAAAAAGCCAATCGGGGATAATGGTTAGTGGAGAAGTCTTATAAATCATATGATAAGAGCAACTTCTCCTATTTCATCAGAATCTGTTTTATTAATCCTGAGTATAGAAAATGATATTTTTGAGGGTTTCTTTTCATCATGGTGCAGTAAGACAAATATCCCGAAGTGAAGAGTAGAAATTAGCTAGTCTGGTTCTATGTGTTTTGACGTGCCTCTGATGATGAAGCGTTTGAGAGAAACATACCATAAATCTTGGTAAACGGGTAGCATGGTCCAATAAACATAGGTAGGCAGCCTATACACCGTCCCCGATAAGTACGTCTAATTACCAACATAACTACTGGCAGTTCGCGAGTTATTCATCAGTCATTGGGAAAGTTTTAGTTTACGCAGGACCACGAGTAATTGATGTGAGACGAAAGGAGTTGGTTTTCATAGATATACCAATGAACATATTTCAATGAGATACCCTGGTTTTAGAGTACATATAAAGGAACGTATCCAATAGTGAGGCCATGTTAGCCTCCCAGAAATGTGTTCACTGTAAGCTCAGCGAGTTTTCAAAGACGAGAAACTAAGATTGGTTCGCGTACGTAGGACATCGAATACTTGCGTAATTTTCATTAGATTGTTATCGTGGAACCGGTGGGATCAGGAACTTACTTTACTACATGGTTGACAAGAAGTTTAGAAAGCGGATAGAACGACGTGACTCTGGCTCAGTTGTCACACGTAGTGTTGAGACTGTGAAATGAGTACAATTCAATAGAAAGTAAAGCAATATATTGTCACTGAATGGTAAACGGTCAGTTAGTCACAACCTCAGATGCTATTGCGTCAATTAGTCAAGCCAAAATACAATCTTTAGAAACTTGCTCGGTATGCACTTTGGATTGGAATGGACCAAGTGAGAGGGCAACACATTTCACATCCGTGTACGGTGTAATAAGTTGGATGAGTTTAAATCTCAAAGGATGAGTTTTCGTAAACTTAGTCGTACTGAATGGATGATACTCTAACTGAGACGTAGACGGACAACGGTAGTTGTCCCGGCATACCCTAAAACCTAGAAGTGTCTGCAGGTCATACGTTTAGACCACCTTAGCGACCCAAAACCTGTGAGGCCAGTCGCATGTGGAAACAGTTAGACAAAATGATTAGCCAATATTGAGTTTGTAGCAATGACACTATGCGGCTATTTAATTGCAATGAGGCCAAGGTACTATAACCACTGTTACAGTTCATGATAAACAACCTCGAACCCTATTGCAAGACAAAACGAGTACATCTTGATAGTGAGAAACTCTCGTGACGTGACCACTGGCACCTGCACGAGAGCTCTAGGAACTTCACTATGAGGCCTAAGTAATTACCTCCGAAAACTTTAGGACTGTGCAACCTACCTCGTCCCAGACAAATCTCCTAGCCACTACATTGAGACAAAATACAAAATCAGATTGTGTTTGGCCCTGAAAAGGGCCGTTTGGCGTTCACAGGTCAATCATCACATAGACTTAGGCGCGCTCCCCACGAATTCGACGAGCTAATTGAATATCTTTCGGCATGATGGTG